TAACACCTTTTCTAGCTATTACTCTTTCCGGCTTTTGAACGGTAGTTATGCCCATCTCATCAACATTGTAAGTATCCTGTGGTTCAAATTTGTAACGATCCAAAACTTCTTCTAGAAGCGAAAAAAAGGCATTGACGTTATTTCTATTGGAAGTTGCTGCCCTGCTGAGGTTTGTCGCCTCAGGAGCCCTGAGAGATAAAGCCGTATGCCGTTTCAAAAATCCGGTGAGCCAGTCGGAAGACGCCATTTGATTTTTGATCCAATTCTCACGAACCTCTGTATTGTTTTTAACTAATAACTCAGATGCTAAACGCCTCACTTCTTTCATCGATAGCCCAAAATATAACTTGGTTTGTTGAATAAGATGATCAGCTAAATCGTTCTCCATACTATCTGGCAGAACAGCTCGATTTCGTTTGTATCCCACTTCAACTGATGCTTGCTCAAAAACGTCCAAAGGCGTCTTTCCCCTATCTGTTTTTCGTTTATACGTCCTCATTATATTTCTGGAAATCATATAAGCATTACTTTTCAAATACTGAAACAAATACGGAACACATGCTGGGCTGGCTGTGACAGTCACAACTTACCCCAAGTTGAATGTCACAACCAACCCCAAGACGACATCTTTGTTTTTTTGCCTTCTTCTTGCCAAGAGGACATTGGAATTTGAAAAATACGAAAGAAACAAGAATCCACATACCTTAATGATTGCTTTTCTACAGAAACGTGAAGAAATAGGCTTGAAATGCCACTTGTAGTAATCTTTTACTGGAGGCAACAATTTTTACTTTGCACTGCTGAAAACACAATATTGCGTACAGTAGACGACCACTTGCTCGCACGGTAATATGAATTATACTGAAGTCGTATGATGAGACTTTGTTTATTTTACCACTGACTATGCGGTGTCGCCATTACTTCTACGAAAGTATTTGCGTCAGTAACAACTAACCCTGTCACAACCAACCCCGGTGTCCTTACTCTTCGACTTGTTGCAGTTTCGGTAATTTCACTTATTTGTATTACTTTCTAAAATGGTGTTTCCTTCTGCTTGCTCAAAAACTACCTGTACTTAGCTTCTAAACCTCGCGGTGTAATTATCGCTGCCGAATAATGATTACCAAACTTTCTCTGTAACGAGCTAGTATTCGTTAATTCGAATGTCGTCATTATTCCGAGCGATTTTAAATAAAATTTAACGAGCTGATAATTCGTACAGGTGCACATCTCCTCAAAGCATAAATAGGTACCAACTTTATTCGCTCATTTGTTTATCAGCGTTATCCTCAATTATTCACGTTATTATCCCATTTGCATAATTTAATTTACAAAACGAAAATAAATAATTATGCTCGTACCCAGTTATTAACGCGAAGAAATGCAAAATACTCGTTTGGTGGCTGAGTTTTCATTTTGAACGTATTTCAATGTTGTTGAAATGTTCAAATGTGTGCTTTGATGTTAATCTTCAATGAGTTTTAAAATTGTAAAGATGGTTCCTCTACTAATGAGGTAATAGTTTTCATAAAAGAATACCCAGTTATATTTTTTTAGCAAATCGAATGTGAGTATGAAAGGAACTCCATTATGGATTTTTTTAAGAAATCGAACATTTCCCGTGTATTATTCCTATTATACAGTAAACAGTTTGGAATTATTGTTATAAATCATCTAAAATTGAGCGAACACTGATCATCATTTGTTTTAGGAAGTAAATTATCAGAGTATGTAGATTTTATCTATTCAGTAATAACGTGTACGTTCAAAGCCAATGCGTAGATATTCATATTGTGAATCGGTAAAAATACACAGTAATTCAGGTATTTCTAACCAAAAAGTATCATCATTATGGGCTAATCTAAATAAATACAGTAAATGAATTCTATACATTTTACGATTTAACTTGAATCAATCACCCGCTGCTAATTATAGATGTGATTTTTAGTTTCAGACAGTTTATCGTTCTGTGCAATAATGAATTATTCAAAATAGAATCAAATTATTCCTTTCCTTTTGGAGACCAGTACAACTGTACAACAAAAATTAGGATATCAAATTTACTCAACACGGTCACGAAATCAGTTTTTTCAAACAGAATCAAACCAACTAAGTTGTTGTCATTTTTTGATGACGCCAACCTGATTAATGAGGCATAATTTTACTCAAGTTTTTATATCAGCTTCTCTCAATCTTTTTGCAATATTAGTATCAAATTTGAGATGGAGCCGTCATTAAATATTACACATTTAAGGTATACGTTGAAATATTTTCTCCAGTAAATATCATCAAATTCTCAATTCCGAAAAGACTAACTTACGTTTTGAAAAATTGTACGTGGAGGGCCTCTACTACTGGAGTTCCCCAAAGTTTTATTCTGGGGCTGCTGCTTTTCATATATTTCATTTATTTTTGGTATTCTCTTTTTCCAAAAAAGTGATCATATTCGCCAACGATGATAATCAACAACAAATATTCGATTCAATCAATCTTGACAACGGAAAAGGCTTCAATTTCATCATTTCACAATTGAACAGGAAAAAATTCGAAGTCAAATTGACCTTTTCCTGTAATATATAGCAGATAGACACAAAAGTTTACTAATCTCATTCATTCATAGAAAAAGCAGTAGTTCCCCTAGAGTGAAACCTTGTGGACAACTAATTTGATTTTGACGGCTCTAAATATTCACAAAACTACATTATTAGTGACACCATATTGGGTGACGAATTTATTGGAACTATTCATTCCCCACCACCATGCAAGTGAAACTTCTAGTTCTCCATGTGGAAGAATATTCGTCGTGGAGCTTTTAGCTCCAGGTGAGACAAATCGTCTGCAAAGAGGAAGAAGAAAAAAGTTTTAAATATCAAGATTTTCTCTTGGAACTCCGTAGACTCTAATCTTGAGATTTTGTCTTAAACGCCGGAAATGTTGGCCATGTAAACGTGAAAGGATCTCATTTTTTATTCCAAACATCATAAAAAATTATATGATTTGAAATCAATGTTGGATATTCATCATTGGCCTACAGTTGAAATTATGCCTATTTCTTTTTTAGACATTAGAAAGTAATCCATTTCTGATTTCATTTTATCAGGATACTGCAAGAAAAGTAACTAACAATATTTGCACTCATACTTTCGAAAAAGTGTAAGCCATTACTTTATGGAGAGTATTTCCCGTTTCTGCCTTTTTCCAAATCTTCCAAAAGTTCAACAGATCATGAATAATATCTGATATAACTCATCAGTGATGTAGAAAATATTATGAGTTTTTCTTGGTTGTTGCTGGACCCCTCATGAATACCGAACAAAAGACAATCACACACAATTTCCTTGTAATTTCCTGTTCGAAGATTTATTTAAATTCATATATGAACTGTTAATTCTGTTGAAAAACAACACCACTTCCGTTGAACAATTAATATTTAAATTTGAAGATATTATTCAGCCAACTTACTGGGGAAAATGAACGGAAGTGTGTTTACCTTGATTCGAGCCGATGCTACATGGTTTTGTTGTGTATTGTTCTGCTCACTGAAATCATATTACTCTTAGATTTTGCAATGAGCAATACATGTGCAATAAATTTGGGAGAATATTTCCATTCTGAGACGGAACCACTTTTTTGACTTGGAATAAGCAATAGTTGTACAAACGAGCTGATATTTATATCAGCACAGTGGTGTGGCACAGATTAAATTAAAATGTTTGTTTCAAATGTTTTGTCCATTTCAGTGTCATGTGTTTTTGTAACTCCATATCGCCATAAATATTTATTCTATTTTGTTACGGTTGATACTGATCGACAGAGAATTTTGTACTATATATACTGCCGCTGTTAATTTTTTCCCAAAAATTTTAACACTTTTCAGCTTATGTCGTTAAGCGATTTTCCGACAATTTTCTCTACGAATTCAAATTGAACGGAAGTACTGCCGAAGCAGCCGGAAAACTAATAGGCCTTTGGCAATGACAGTATTAAAAAAAGGACTGTACGAAGTTGGTTTATGAGAATCTTTCAAAAATGTATTTTGAATCTAAAATCCTTCAGGGTGTGAGAAACGAAATTCATCGTATTTTGTTCCACAGTGTTGACAATAGTTGGAAAGATGCTCTGTCTGAATTATATTCACTATAATTTCGGGATCCAAAAAGGAATCAACGCAATCAGAATGTCTTCAATGTAATTTGATATTGAAATGAGTGGAATGAGTAATACAGTTTTTGGTGCAACTATGGAGAAAATATTAATGTATAATTGATTTCGACGAAAATAAAAATGGTTTTGAGGTTATTTACGATTGATCACTCAAACACAGGCATTAAGTTTAAATATTTTTATTTATCACACGAAGAGCATATACATACATCAATTTATATATTTACATTTTTGAAATGTTTATCAATTATTACTATATTGAATTGCATTTTGTTTATGAATCGATAACGATTCAGAAATACACGTTCATGAAGAGTAACAATAAATAAGGACAATTCAACAGAATACTGTAAAATATAAACATGGCGATCAAGTGCTCAGTATTCAACTTTATTTGTATAGTAATAGACGAACTTAAAAACGAATTTGTACTATGAATGAAATCATTTATCCCCGCCGTTTAAAAATTTTCCTCAGTTATATTGTTCTAAACATTATACACAGATATACATAAATACTGAGCACGCATTTGATTAATATCTATGTTTTGATAATAAATATGTCCTAGGCAAATAATTTAAAATCTCAGAGAATGATTATTGGTCGGCCTTTGTACAATTCACAATGTCATGTATTTACAATATTTGCAGTCTATGATAAGTTCTTTCAGGAAGATCTGTCTGGATTTTGATAACTGCTCTCATGATGTTCCTAAAGTGGAAAACTCACTTTTAATTAAGTGTTTTATCGAAAATACTGACAGAACTACCTCGCAAAGAGAATATCGATTTTCCTCTTCACTCCCATATACATATATATCCCATATAAATACTTTATATTTATCGTGAAGATTGCACATTGTCTTTAATATATTCATATATTTACAAATCGAAACTTGTATTAAAATCATTTTAAACAAACTAACATCTATTTACATTACAAACGTTCTATTTTTGTACTTAATTTATACATAAACTCACTGGTCATACAATCGCTGAACTTAATTTATACAAAATATACAGTGAATACAGGGATGCTCTAACCAGCTTTTGATGATCACGTTTAATTTTATTTATACCTTAAACAATATATCTACAGAGTTGTTCATAAATAAATTCCTTGACAGGCTTCTTCACTTACTTATCACGTATACTCGGATCTCCAGCCGGTCTGTAACAAAAGAAAAATTTTATTAGCACATTCGTTGTTTGAATAATGATTTAAAAAAGAACGATAAAATTTGAAACAATTAGGACTTGGTGCCGACACCAGTCCTAGTTCAGTGTCTTTGTTTATGATAATAATAAACATAGTGTTAATGTGACCGTGAGACAACAGAAACTGGAGTATTTCCCCACAGGACATTGTTTTGGTGTTTGACATTGAACGTAGTGTCACCGAGATGGAATCCATTCAGATTTCACAGATTTCAGTTGCTCATTGCCACTTTATCCCTTTACAAGGATAAGCCTTCTTCAACACCATTGAAGCCCCAGCTTATCAAAGTACCTTCGCTTTCCTAAGGTCGATTGGACATAAATCGGAAATTGAGCGGTTCACCAGGATGATGTCTTCAACACCTTCGTCTACCATAATCTCTTAATGGATATACAGGTTACTGTATAACTACTGTATAACCAAACTATTTTGTCGTCAACTAAATTAGTATCACGGCGTAGAATTTGAGTTAAGGATAATCTGAGACTGGAAAATTGTACTCGAAAGGAAACAAACACTTGAAAATAATTTTATGTGATACTATAATTGATAAACTTTTATCGTTCTTTGTCCCCTAATCTAATCATTCGCATCGAAAAAAACAAAAAATGAAATGAACCGATTTAAATGAGACAATGAACTCACCATCCCGTTTGACGTCAATCCCAAACCGGCGGCACTCAGCGAGCTCATGTGATGATGATACGACGCTGTCGGGGGTGGGGCGGGGGGAGGAGGACCGGAAACGAATCCTTGCGTATGCTGATGTTGGTACCAGTGGCTCATGGCGTGATGGGGGTGTAAGGCGGCGTTGAGATGAGGATGTCCACCACCCATGCCGGCGCCGAAACCTGCAGCGCCAAAGCCGCCCTTGCTGGCGTCTAAAGGCTTCATGTCGCCCATCATGCCGCCCATCATACCGCCCAGCGAGAGGCAGGATGCGCCGTTCTTCTTCTTCTTACTCTTTGAAGAGAGTTTTCTGTTTCTCGTTTGTATGCCTTCTTTCTTCATGGTGAGTGGTCGGTTTACCTGCAACAAGAGAGAAAGGGTAGGTTAGTTGGGGTAGATACATTTTGTTGCCGTGGTCGTTGCATTTTATCATTGTGATGAAAATTATGTCAATATTCATTAGTCCAAGAGCCTAAAGTCTTCAAAGCAACATCATTTGGATGAAATTAGTTAAGTATCAGATACTATCCTGGTTACATCTGTCGAAATGAATGTTTCAAATTTCAGTTCAAAAATCCGGACATTCAATTCATCAACTTTAGAATGTCGTGGACTTTTTGGGCACCCGCCCAGCATGTAAATAATGATAATAATGTACATCTATTATTTTTCCAACTGCCTGATACATTTTCGATCTTCTCGGAGTGACCTCGTTTTTCAGGACTCCAAACTATTCATTCTGTATCTCAATTTATACTATCAATATTAATCTCAAGCTAGGCGGTAGTCATAACCGCCCGATGATTTACCTAAATATCATTCACCGACTCTTTTTCTAATGACGAAAACAATAAATCCAGAATCTAATTTCAACTAATGGCGTTTTGTAAGTAAAACGTTGGCTACCGAAACTTCCAGTGATTTATTATAGACTAACACGTTTTTTCTTCGGTGCACCTTTGATTAGGCCTATTAGTTTTTCTTTGTTTTCGTTTAACGAGGATAAGAGAGAAGACGAGAAACAAATTAGTGGTTACGAAATCGGTCAATTAAACGTTGGATCGGACTCGAGGCTGAGAATATTTCCAATTAGTATAAATCAAACTGTGACCGATGACCGGTACTAGGAGCTCTGAGAATCAAGTGTGCTACTGTTAAAAGCTGATGACGGATAGTTAGCAGGAGTGGAACATTTTTTTTTGTTGAAAATATGTGCAAGGTCATCGAATACCCAGAACCATATGCAAAACTTCCTTTTTTGAAAATGCTCTTTTCAGAATAGTCACGGTGTGTTATTTGGCTGTATCATGTAGTGACAGGACGTCACCTGATCTGAACCCAATTGATTCGTTGATAATTTGTTGGTCGCAAGTAGAAACCAAACTAAACGTGTTCACCTTAAAAGTGAGTATCTAACATCGTTGCTCTCCACGAAAGAAATTTTGGACAATGAATTTCGGAGGAAATGAAGGAATAACAAAATTGTTGTTGTTGCTTCTGTTTGTTGTCCTTATATCTGTTGATCTATGAATATTCCAAAATTCTTTTGGAAATCATAAACTGAAATTATACATACTCAATTCATATACTTTATTAGACTCTTTTTCATTTGACTTTTAATCAAAATCGTAAACATTCTCGCCTTCTTCAGTACCGTCGCGTATCTAATTCCGTCACAACGGCATGTTTCATCGTATGGAATGTCCTCCGTATAGAAGCATCAGACACGATATTTCGACAATCAGATCCTACGATCTATGAACTAAATTACCTCGAAACACACTTGTGTCTCCGTCAACTTGTACAGTTGAGGCCATGAAAGATTACACATGCAACAATACACGATCCGTCCTTTTAATTAACCAGCTGTCGCACCCCTACGAACGACAACCCTCAGAAGTCGAAACTTGTGCGAGCTAAGGATTAACGAGGGCTTACATTTTAAAGTGTGATTCCTAACACGGGTTGGACGATAGCAAGTGAAAATCGATCGTTCAGACTAGGGCTTGAACCACCGATCAACACGGCAGTCAATTCGAGTGAGTGAACAAAGCACCCACGTCGAACCGCTTGGCTACGATCGCCCAACGATAAAACGCATAGTTTTATATAGTCCACATTCGGCAATTAACGACGTATTACGATCTTTTGATTTATGTTTCACTGTGAAGTTAAAGACTTTCTTGTGTGTAAGCATACACAAGTAGTTACTTCCACAACTTATAAACAATCAACGTTAACATAATTAGGAGATTACAAAAAAATAGCATTCGATTTTGCGGGTTTTATAAACAAACAGTGATTTCACAAATGTGTAAAGTTTTCCTAAATGTATCACACGCATGATTAACGTTCCTTGAAGAAACACCAAAATAAAGTGGAGTATCATCTATATATTAGAGTATTACATTATTGAAGAGACCAGAGAGAATTGTTAAAATCAAGAACAATCAGTATAAGGCCCAGGATTGGTCCTTGTGGTACTTTTAATTTAGAAGCTAGGTAGTCTGATACGTTGTTATCAATAACCAGCTTCTGATATCGATTTTTGAGAAAATTTGAAAGTAAACTCACAGCTAATGCAGAGGATCAAATCTAATTCAATTTAGCCCTTGTGTTGGTCAACGGAATCCAGCGAGGCAAGAATCGTATATTGTCATTGGTCTGTGGTTTTGATGATATCAACAATATGTAAGAGCAGTAGCACAACTTTACTTTTCCATAAAACCCGACTAAATAATAATTATAAATTTCATTCTCAAATCGGGAATGGCTCTGCTTCTGTCGAACTTTATGAAATTCACCAAAAATCGTAACATGGAGTGAATTTCATGAATAAAACACTTTGTTTCGTTTCCATCGGTTTCTCCACATATTTCGAGGATGCACAATTCAATGATGCATGTGTAATCTTCTGTTGCTTCAAGTGTATATCGCGGTGTGGGTTTACTATGTCAGTTTTAACAAACTGTAGAAACATTTTCAGAAGGCGAGGTATTATTAATCATGCCCCAGAGAAGCCGGTAATTATTTAACTAATAGTCGCTAGTTATTAGTTACAAAATAATATCCTGTCCGTTTCTAATTACAATATTGGCTTTCCTGCAAGGTCCGAGGTATTCCGATTCGTACAATTGCTATAGTTTCGCAAGAAAGATTCGTATCTCGGTCGAAAATCGCCGTAGGCGATGCATTTGCGAATAATGACGAGGGGCACAGTCTTGAAACAATTGAAAGAACGCCGCCTACTTTGATTTGACATTTTCTTCTGTTTTCATTTGTTCAACTTCTCCGCTCGAGAATCATAACATTACGTGAAATATGACGTAACGTCTTATCACAAAATTCAGATGAATAGAACAATTAGATAATTCGGTTCAATTGTCGCAGTGACATAATATCGAAACTGAATAGACGGTCAGTTTGCTCAATCTTATTCCAGTTTGAACAACTGCAAATGCGTATTTTATGATGGAATCTAATGAATGAAACGTCGCACCGTAGATTTGTTATATGTTATAATAATTATGAAACAGTACTGAAAGATCTTCAGCCTTTTTTGATATTATTCGAAATAGAGGCGATTGAGCCAAAAAACGAAATTAGACAATTCTAGATTTTGGCGAATATTTCAAAAACAACCACTGATATTCTCGATCTAAAAAAAAAAATTATTCTAGTTCCCCAAAATAGAGAACTTTTGTTCAATTTAACCGATGTTGTAGGTCTTGCCGTTTCCGAGATAGCAATAGTGGGGTTAGCTAAAAAACGGACTGTATAAACAATTTGGAACCCATGCAGAGGTTAATAATAATATGGCTCGTAACTTGAAGAAAATTAATAAAACTATCCATGACAATGATTATAGAACTTTGTCAAAGATGTAATGAGTCATGTTCGGGTTGAAGTTGTTGTTTCCTGCAATTTGTCTCATAAAAAACCATTTTGAACAGATCATCTCCCAAGTATCTCTCGATGTTGAAAACTTCAGTTTCACTTACAAAACACCCACATATGCAGGAAAATCATCAGATAAAATGAAAAATACTACTATTAAAGGAGAACATTGACGTGGCATTTAACAGTGGTAACTCCTTGGGTATACATATAAAGAACAACAAGTCACAGATAGACAAAGAAAACAGATCAGGTGTCTATAGACTAATATGCGAAACATACCCAAAAGTGTATGTAGGAAGGACTTCAAGAAATTCCACAATAAAATCTCCTAACATAAAAAAAGTTTAGAACTGAATTTGTCACTACGATTTCAGCATGGACTGACTACGACATATTACATACAAAAAGCAAACAACTGAAATTAAACTTGCTGGAATCTCTGGAAATCAATGAACGCAAATATTTAGATTTTCTTTCAAATGACGAACAAGAAGTTATCCATACATTATTATTGAAAATGACAATAATTGACACATCTACAAATCAACTGTTTTCCTAAAAGTAGTATCTGTATCTGTAGTGTATGGAGGGTGAGTGAAAGCCCACATGTGACCCATTGTACATCCTCCCGAGGAGTTGCCCTCCTAGGTCATCGTACATCCTATCCTGTCCAGGAAGGTGGACAGATCACTGGGAAAAATCTAGCCCCGATGTTACTAAAAGTACTATTGTATTAACTGATTCTTCAGAATCTATCTGTTTTGCCAGAATCAATCATTCATCTAATGAGTTTTATCATTACCTTCTGTTATATAAAGGACATTGTAGAATATTTTGATGTACCAGTAACTGATGGAGCCACCATGTAACAAAACGCGTGAAAATTATAAAATTATCATCATGAACATTGCAAAGATGTTATTGCAATCTAATTGGTCCGATAACATTCAATTTGAAAATCAGTAAAAACCTTCTTGGTCATTTCAGCAAGTTTTACAGACATGTTTGAAATATGCAGTTGCTCTACTTGGTTTCAGGCTAAGTTCCAACAAAAAAAGCTTTAAATATCTGTAAAACTACATTGACATATATTTTCCATCATTCTAAACGACAAGATAACGATTTTTCGTCATCTCCGGCGATCTGGCCAATGAACCTCCAAAAATAATAGTATCCATGACTAATCGCAGAGATAAAACTTGAAATATACATGGAATTGTCGAACGGTGGGCCCAATATTAACATGGTAGCAGGTCACCTGCCGGGATTACGTTAGATAACCGTGGTATCTGTCAACTACCTTGAGCTACCAACCGATCACGTATTATTTAATGGTTTTTATGATTTATGCGGGTGTGGTTCCCGTGTGCTGGGTCCATATTTATCTTGTCTCTCGAAATGAGCCCAGCGAGCTACATCCGGATACTGTTTGTATAATGAGCTCGTATTGGGACGTTTTA